AGTAATCCATGTTAAGTCAAGAACACCACAGCTGATGTGAACAGAGCTACTGTGTCTGCTTCATCCAAAGTAGAAAAAGACTTATGTCATTTAGGTCAGATCTGGAACCCTTGTTAGAAATTAAAAGTTTCTAGTGTTACATAAGAGTTGCCACCCACTGCTTGCTTGATGTTGTATTATTTATGAGGCTTTGTGCTTTCTAAAATGACAATATCATAATTCATATAAACCAATCCAAAAAATGGCTTCATGCACGAGGGGATTTAAAACAAGCCAGGACAAACACTGATTTGTTTACAGGCTAAAATAAAAACATCTACTAATTCCTCCAACACTTTTGATTAAATGCCACAGATGAGTGCATTTGCTAATTGAATCCCTGACATACAATAAACTCACAACAATAACATTTCAAGTACCTACAGATGAGTCTATAGCGTACGTAAACACAAGACATAAACACTCTTACCGATGCTGAATTCTGTGAGCTTCACAACAGATGCCATTGTGCTCTAAACAATGAAGGTTCTCCTCAAACAGAAGTGCTTGCCTTCCATGAAACGATACTCAAAGTGTTTCCATTGCTTTAAGAACAGATAATGCAAAATTTCTCCTCGTAAGCAGACACAAATGAGCTTTATGGGCGCAGATGGCTCAGGCGCACATTCTAATTCCCTACAACTCATGAGCCTGTTGTGGTGACCAAAGCTCTCCACAAAACCCTGAGAGCTCGCATATACAGCATGCAGCTGACGCCAAACTGTACTACCTTTTTATCACTATTTTGTAGTATAAACAAATCTAAAAACGCATGCTGCTCCTGTGAAAGCTTGGGTTTGTTTTTTGAAATAGGCAATGTATTTACACTACACCTTTTTTATATATATATATATATAAAATGTCTAGTTCATTTGAGCAGTCATGGCTGTCCTGAACAAATAAATATCAGAATGCATATGAGCCTGAGTGTACAGCCACTGTGTATGTAGGAATATATGCAGGACTGAGTCTAAATAAGTGAGAATGTCTGAAATGTGAAGACAAATCAGTGAAGCAGCCGAGGGTTTGCACATGATCTCCCCTCTCAGGAATGTGCTGAAACCCAATCCATCGTCTTAAGCTGGATTTCCATACACTAACATTACCTAGAAAGCTCAGCAGACCTTAATTGGCAATGCAGGATTATGAGCATGAACATTATTTCATCCGTGCTGGTGGGGATCATATCAAGTGACGTATCCAATTTCAAGACTGCAGACTGATGAGTTGTTTTATATAAAACTAATGCACAAGATTACCGTATTTTAGAAATAACCATGCCAGACAGATAGATAGACAGACAGCCAGATCATTCTCTTAACTCATTACTTTTGAGTTGTAATATATTTCTTACCACTAGATAGCGCTCACACAACATTGTTTCTCACATAGCTTACATATTCTAACTAGAAGGAGCTGGCATGAACTTTCACTTCCTGGTCTCGTTGTCTGCCTGATTTGCATAAGAGACAAGTTTTAGGTCAACAGTGCTGGCTACTGATGATACTAATTTGCTTCCTGAACATCTCCTCCTGTTGTACTTCTTGTCAACAGATACTTGTGTTAGGCAACAGTATGAAAATGACTCATATGTTTTCAAGCAATTACATCAGGTATCTTTACTGCCTGAACCAGTTATCACATGCATCTTGCAGGTGGTCACGTCCATGATTCAACATAACCTCTCTATTGACAAGGCCAACTGCAGAGGGTCACATACAAGGTTTCTAGCAACTGTCTGATGGACTCATCAGACCTATTCAAAAGCTCACATTTAGGTCTGTTAACCTTTCTGAATCATTGCTTGGTCCACATGGAAAAAATCAATCCAACCAGACACCAGAACCATCAAGCCGACTAAACAAACATGCGCAGACACGGAGTTCATTGAGTCGTGCTGTAGATGGCCAACAGCTGTCATGAATGCATTGTTTTGTTTTCTACTTGTTAATTTCCAAATATTTTTGCCCTGACATGTTTCCAAAAAGAAGGAAAAATACTGTTCTTTTTAGCAGCATCATATGACCCCTTTAAGGATGGAGTGATGGGAAACGTTTTGTCAAAGGTTAGCGCTGAATGATACAAAACAGTGTCTACTGGAACACAGATGTGAAATACAAGCCTTTCACAAGTGGGCCACAGCCACCAAATAGCATTTTCCCCCTTTTCCTACAAGAAAAAGATTTCGGTTTCTATAGCACAGATGGGTCTCATAATGAACCATTTTACTCAAAGTAAACCAGTCTTTCCACATAGTTGTGCTTGTGTAAGTACTATTAGTGCGAAGACTCCCATTTTAATTGTCAGATGTTCAAAAAAGTGGTTGTGTTGACAGAGAGCGCAACTCAGCAAGCCCTAACAAAGCAGTAAAAAAACAACAGTAATGAGGATTACAGCTTGTTTCCTGTGTGGAATTGTGGGGGCTGGGATGGGTGGGAAGGAGTGAACACGAGAGACAGACAGGGAGAGGTGTCATATCACGCTCATGAGAGACCTTATGTAATTACACAGGATGTTTTGGGTAAACATACTGTATGAACTGTGCAGTTTCCATGCTGATCCTGGTGTTTTCCTGCTTTTTATTAGAAGACTTTCTTCAGATACGCTCTGTGTCTGTGAATATTCACACAATATCCCTTTCAATGCAACTCAAGATGTCCTATATGATTTATGATGATGCCCTTGCATCATCATGACAAAGACGACCCACTGCTATCCATTTAACATAATTTGGCAATGACGAGTTTTATAAAGCCTATGAAATCTTGCAATGATGCTGCCAAGTAAAACATACTTCCCGCTCAGCTTGTCAGATGCTAGATTTTTACCCAAGACCCAAGTCTCCATGATATTCTACACTCTAAAAACTGCTGGGTTAAAAACAACCCAATTTGGGTTATTTTGGCAACCCAGCGCTGGGTCAAAAAGGGACGAACAAGTTGGGTTATAATGTTTGACCCAGCATGCTGGATTGCTTTTTTATGGTTTAAAATTACTACACTGCTAAGGCTAAAATGAACCCAAATCGAGCTAGACATTAAACCGACAAATCTTGTTCATTTTAAAATCACTTTTACACACACAGAATGACTATCAAAAGGTAAATATTTATTTAAAACAAGAGAAAACTCAAAAGTAACATGCATGTAAAAGATGAAATGCAGAAAAGTATGGCATTAACAGCTACAGAGTTTATAAATGAAGCATTGAACATTTGTTGAATATAACTTTTAAGATCAAATTTGACTTTTTTGGTAAATTGTATATATTGTATAAAAATATTATACAAAAACACTATTATACAATAGTTGTACAATTAGTTAATAGTTAAGTTCTTTACAAACTATTCTGGCATGAAAGTAAATAAACCACAACATTAACACTGATATTATAACATTTATCAGAAACAT